ATTGGTAGTGATTTGCTCGTGTTGTGAAATAATTCCCGCCGGACAATGAGAACGGACATTGTCATCCAGCAAAGGGGAGGCAGTGGCAACTGGCGCCACTTCGACATGCATGGACCGTTAACCCTATATCCACAGATTCCTCCATCACTCCAGGTTCTCAGAAAGTTCTCAGAAAGACTTACAGGTAAACAAAGAAATGCTGACTTGTGTTCAGACCTGTACGCAAAAGGAATTGAGCAATGCCGGGAAGCGCCGCTCCGAAAAAGAACGAGACTGAAGAGGAGGTGCTTCATATGAGCCAATACTTTCACCGTTGGCCTCATGCCAATTTTCGACTTGCCCGGTGCAAAAGCGTCCCGAGCTTCTTATCAAGGACTGCCTTTACCAGTTTCCAATCACAACCTACTTGTGTTTCTGAGAACCCATGAAAGTAGGGAAAAGCATATATAACAGCGACATGAGCAGTCCGAGCTGATACGGTAAAGGCATTTATCTGGGAAAATCACAAAAAGGCTTAATTCTTTCAGGATTTCATAATCTCATACGAAATGGCACAACGAACGTGCAAACGTGCGATGACAGCGGACTGCAAGCGTGCAAATGCAAAGCGCCGTTGTGGTGACGTACTGGTGGGTTTTACGGCACTGACCTTCGGAATCGGAGCAATAATACGATCGTTTTTCCGAAATCGTCATCTCGTACCATAAACGCTGCTCATATCTATGACTAGAATGGAAGAATAGAAGGTGTACTACGATGATCCATTCCCTTATTCCTAAACTGTCCTCTATATACCCTATCTAAACATCAAAACTAATGGAGCAATGTGTAGGAGCTGCTAATGGAAACCGGTTTCTGGATGTCGATCTAATAAAGTGGGTTAAAACAGTCTCTGTAGGCCAACTTCGCTGAACCTGACCATTTAAGCTGCAAAGCTGGAGGGATCGCTAAAGAGGTTTACGACAATAGAAAAATGATCATATTGACTATCCTGTTGTTCTAAACTATGTGTCATTAGGTCTGATTCTTGGTCCTGCGTTAAGGGATCACTTAAAATTCTCTGCAGGCCCCACGCAAGTGAAACAAGGAGTGTCCATTCTAAAAGTGATGGCAGCACGTTGAGTAGTTTGCCAATTCTCACGGTGATGTCTGAATTACCCTCTCCCTCCTGGAAAGCTCCCAAAACCAACCCCCAGAACTCGTTCCTCGGTTTAATGCTTTTTGCGAATTCACTGATGCGTGTACAGCCTGGCGAATACGCACCATATGCCCATTTCAATCCCATTCCCGTTCATGAGACAAAAAGGATGTGCCCTCTGTCATCATCACGGAATCTTCAATAAAGAAATCGATATCAAACCAAATTCCTCTACTTTTATTCAGATATATTTTTCCCTTTTCATCAAGAGACTATAGTCGGCGAAAGTTCTAACACATAGGCAATCCAGCATGGAAGCAAGTTAGCTGTCTCATTCGAAGCTGTAATTCTGCTGTTAAACAGGCTTATCAACGTCATACACGTTCCCAACAACATGGATTCAGCGCCCTAATGCATGTGAATCCTCTTGGATGTCCTTTAAAGCCATTAGTGGCCCTATTACCGATGAGGAATACGCTAGGTGACAGCAAATGAGACCTTCAGAAGCACAGTTTGGAAAGCAGTTTGCCTACACAGTTATAGAGTTTGAAGTCACCCTGTTCTTGAGAAACTTATGGCATTCTTTTTTGGAAACACGGATTGGGAATGGCGGAGTGAAGACTAGAAGTTAGCCACTTCCGTCCATCATTATTATGAGAAGGGCGGGTTGACAAACGCTGATATCGTGCCGATGGAAGAACACCATCACTTAGCAAATGCAATTGAAGAATTGAACTGTCATTTGGAAACGAGTAACAAACCAATGGTATAAAGCGGTAATTTGACTTTTCCCGCTCACATATTTATGACAAACTCAAGTTCCTCGCCAAACAGAACCCTGTCACCCTAGCAATTCAGCATATATGGCCTTTACTCGGTAAAGAGAGCGACATTAAACGATATGACTCAGTACTCGTACTGGTGATTTCGAAAATAATAGTACTGAAAAGTCATCGATGTACTGTTGCTAAAAAACCCGAACTTACGAAAATGCGGTGGCGTTCCCCTTTAAAAATCTTGAAAGAATTCGAAAAGTTGAAGCCGGTGTTCTTCATTGCTCTCATCCATTCATCCACATAAGAGAACGACCAAACTATCTATCACCCCTTCGAAAAAAACGCCGACGACTTGGTAATATTTCAAAGAGTTCCCAGCAGAAGACGAGCTTCCTTATCTCTAGAAACTGAACTCTTATCCAACTTCTGGCTCGCCATCCACGATCCGAAGCCGTTGTTCAAGCTGGTTTGCACGAGACTAAAGGCAGCAATTTTCCCTGCTCTACTGCGGAATTTCTTCCAGAACTTCGGGAAGTGTAAGAATGCATTGCTTTCATATTCGAGTGAATGAGCACTCTTTGTAGATGAGGCATTTAGCAAGAGACAAGAAACTTAGTGAAAACAATCCTTTCTGTGCCAAAAATTCTTGGATAAATTTTGATTGAAAAGCTATTGAGGTGAGATATGTTGGAAGAAAAAGAAATCGATCCGGAGAGCTCAAAAAAGAAATTCTGTGAACACAAAATTCTCAGATACGAAGTAAGAAATAGTCCAGCTACGATCCGATCCCTCACTGAGGATAATAGCTAAGAGGATAGAGCTAACAGCGTTCGCCAATCCTACTTTGGGATTGCCCACGCTTTCTGTTTTCTATCATAACAGAACAAAACTTTCAGAATGGGCACCTGAATGGGTACTTGACCTTTTGAAATGGGTGCTTGACCGATTTAATGACTTTTTGGAGCTAGTCGCTGTAAGGAATAGTGCTTCACTCTTCCAAGATGGGTCCAGGAAGGGCTGGATCTGGTGTGGGGTTTAGTTTCCAGTCTACGTCTTTGAATAGTTTGACTTTTCTACGTTTCGTCAGAGATGAATGGGAACACTTACAAAGAATTCTGAAAGTTCTGACTAGC